TTTATTCATAAGTTCAGAGAGTTTCTCTGTTACAGATATAGAGAATAATATTCTATAAGTAATTAATAAGTTCTCTGAAACTTCTTTTATAGAAATTATTTATAATTCAGATAACTGCTTCTGAGTATCTGTAGTAGAGTTTACAGAGATTAAAGTATATAAGTTTCTAGTTCTTTCAGTTATAATAAATGATTGCTGACTGACTGAGCTTGAAATATAAGAATAAGTGCTTATAGATGATTATTCAGATGTTTGCCGCTTGATATGATATATACTGTTAACTACTAGAAGTATTTATAATAGAAAGATAAAATGTAGTGATTAAATATATAATAGTATTTAAGCTGAGTTATGAATAGTATTCACAAACTCCAGTCTATATAGTTATGTGTAGTCAAGAGCTGCTAACTCTATTAGTTACACAAGAGATAGAAATAGAGATAAAGAATTCACAAGAAGTGGGATTTCTTACATAAATAGTCACTTTGTATGTTTTTTTAATAATTAGTCTCAGTGAGGTTCACATCAAGAAATGTATATAACTAGATTAAATGAGATTAAATATGAAATTTATAATCTTATTAATCAGTCTAACTATAGTTAAGTAATAATCTTTTAATATAATTTCAAAATTCAGCTTTAGAGTTTAATATGATTTAAAGAAAGTGAATCAAATTTGATATTAATTTGATATTATATTTAATTTTGAAACATCATGAGTTTAAATTGAAATTATATCAAGCTGTTTTTCTGACTAAAGTTAGTATGTTCAAGTTTTTTAGCATTATATTCATTCATATACTCATTTTTACAAGTTAATATAACATTATATAATATCAGTTGACAAACATCAAATCTATTTACTATGAAAATAAACTAGATGATCAAGAACTGATTATTCAGAAACTTCTCATTCTAGATTCTGATTGAAATCATGATAAAAAAACACTTAGAGAATCATATCTCATTACTTCATCTCATATCTACACTCTATATCTTCTCTTCTCACTTCTTAGTCTTAATAAATCCTTGCTTTTCTTACCTATCAGATGCTCATTCAATCTAGTTGATAAGCTTAATCTCAGTTCTCAAATCCTCTGCAAATTGTTATACAATTATCAGGTTCTTTAGAAACTGCTGATCAACTAGTACTAAATCAAGCTCTTTCTCAAGAAGCTCATTTGTATTGATGTCATTGTTGATGCTCTTCACAGCTCTGATAAGAATTTTATCTCTCACAGCCTTCTTCACTGCATGAGCAAAGTGCACCTGGAAACATGGGCCTGGAATAATTTTCTGGTCAGAGTGATTCCCACCCGCGCTGATATCAAGCAAATCAACCTCGCCCTTCTCTGCTAGGATCTTTGTGAATCACACAGTATCTTCAGATTTCCAGCTCAGTAGATCCAGGTGTGATTACTTCAGTCACTCAGATATGAAGATTTGAAGGAAGAGCAGCATGTTCTTGAGCATGTTCTGGTGACAGATGATGATGATCTTGCTGAAGAGACAGATGCAGTTCTCAAAGCTACTTCTGTACTCATCAGTGTGATTGTTGAAGATGAGTGAACAGAATGAGAATAGAAGATAGCTGTGTGCATTATATATTTCAATATAATTCATCTCAGTCTTAACTGCTCACTGCACAGCTGCATCTCATGTCTTCTTCATCTTCTCAATGTTCTGCTCCATCATTGCTTTAAGCTTTGTCAACTCATTCAAGAATGGAATGTTGCTGAGTCTCTTGACATTATTCAGCCAGTCATTTGCATGCTCTGTTATGACTTCAGTGACAGTAAGAAAGAGTGTCAAGCTGCTCATCTTGCACTCTGCATGAGTGAGCTGAATGTCAATCTTTTGACTCTGACTGTGAACAAATTCTACTATCTTTCAGAGAGATTTGATTTGTAAGTTCTTTCATAGCTCAGTATTCTTCAGTGAGATTCAATCTTCAGAGAGAACAGATGTGGCCTTGATCATCAGAAAGTCAGAGCCTCACATGATGATTTCTCTGAGATGACTCATGTGCCAGTTCATCATGTGCCCATCATCTGCAGAATATTGACAGAGAGAAGCTAACTGTAGAATTTCCAAGTTCATTAGGTTTTTGAATGCCATCAGACATCTAATAATATAACTAGAAATGTGAATTACATACCTTAACATAATTCTGAAATATCACATTCCTCACTTTCAGAGGGTGGAAAAGCTTTGAAGACCTAGAGTTATCAGACTGAGAATCAGCGGTGATTCCTAATGAGAGACTTTGAAGCAGAGTGAAATAGCTCACACTAGGTGCTGATTCACTGTGGACAAGTTTAAAGCCGGCCTTCTCAATCAAAAGTAAAAAAGAATATAATATGATACAAGCAGTTGATTCAGTTTTTCATTTAATAAAACAGCACCCTGCCAATAAGGAGGCTTTTCGAAGATCATAAGGGAGGGGCGCTCTTCGCCATAACGCAAAATTGATTCAACCGACTCCATAGCCAAACCGAGTATTACACCCAGAGGTTTGTGACTCAACAGTCGGCTGACGGACATGA